GTTTGATTGATTAGAATGTTTAATGCTTCTAAATTCTAGTAACAGGCGGAATCATGCTTACATATCATCAGAAGAAGAAGAAGACAATGAGTACTCGATCTCTCTTTTCTTTCTCGTGAATTCTCACCCACAAAAAAAAAGAAGAAGAAGAGAGATTGCAAGTATTTTTTCTTACGGAAAATAGTGAAGTATTATATTATTCTTAATAACCCGTTTACATTGTTTTCATTATTTATGTATTCCAACGTGCGATAAAATAGTGTAAGTATTATATTATTCTTAATAACCCTTTTACATTGTTTTCATTGTTTTACCATTTTGTGTAAATATATGCATAGAAGTCATAGTGATAGATAGAGGAAAGACGTCTCTTTGACTACTCGATCTAAAACACAATGTGCTAAAATTTCAAAAGCAAAGTCCGTAACTCGCCTAACAAGCCATTTCTCATTTGACTTTGCTATAAATGTTAATAGTCCTATGTGTTTTAGCTACATCAATTTTGGAAATTAAGATTGGTTTTTTATATACTTTAATATAATTACGTCGTAAACTAGTAGTATTACGCTATGTTTACCGAGTAGCTTCTTAATGTTAGCTAGTTTTAAAAAAACGTTGAGATTTTTTTGGTTTGTTTAAACGATGAGATTTATTTATATAAAACCGCATGTATTTACTTTTCATTTCGTATAAGTACAAAAAATAGATGAAAATTCTTTAGATCATTATAAAAAAAATTCCCCAAGTATAAACATAAAATTTAATATGGCAATAACTGTGAAAATTGCTTCAATTTGTAACCTATCCAAATACATATAAACACATTAATTAATCAAAATCCTTGAGATAGAATTGTTGATTTTTTTCAGGTCATTAGTTTGATCAGCTTCCATCCACAATATTCTGGTTATATAAAATCAATATATAATTCTACCTTTTAACTAGTCTACCTATATGGTCTTCTGGAATAATATAAATCATAAAAAATTACAGAATATGTTAATATCGTCGGAGATATGGAAAAATTAAAGAGATAACAAAATTTACAGAAATCGACGAGAAGAATGGAAACTAAAGCAAATCGATAATATTCCATATAAACAGTAATCTTATCCTTTACACGATTTAGATCACTTGTATTTCTTGGTAACAATTTTTCTACTGCACAAGAATAACAAAATTATGTAAATTAAATCGTGACTACAACATATATGTGATTGATAATTCATTTCTCCCATGGTAATCAGAGTCATTTAAAACAAGAATACAAGTATACACCAACTTACGTCTGCGCTATTGTGTGGTAAATTAAAAATCGAGAAACTTCATACTCATCAAAGAAAAATAAAGTTAATTAGTGTGCGTGTTACTATACATCTGAACGAGTCAAAGGGTCAAACCATAGTAATTTAAATTACACAAAAAGTTGACCAAAGGGAGAGTTAATTATTATTAGAATAATATACTATATAGTAGAAAAAATTCCACTTTAGAAACAAGAATAAAAAATAACACTTATGCCGTGTTCCAGTCACTCTTCATTCTTCTACTTATTTTCAAAGATCCTTAAGAAATTACTACTTTTAAAATGAATTATTCTCGTGTTCCTTCACTATATAATAAAAATCACACATTGCTTTAATTCACTTCAAATCTAATCCACAAAACCTTTTCACATCATCTCCTCTCTCCCTCTCTAATCCTTTTTTTCTCATCAAAGCTTTTTTTTTTTTTAAATGGAAGATTACGAGCGAAACTCAAATTCTCCAAGTCACGAAGAAGATTCTGATGTACGTAAAGGTCCATGGACAGAGGAAGAAGATGCAATCCTCGTAAACTTCGTCTCTATTCATGGTGATGCTCGTTGGAACCACATAGCTCGTTCCTCTGGTATGAAAAACATTTATATATATACAAAAACTTTTCTAGATACTAAATACATGAACGAATTACTTATAGTTCATATGTATATATGCAGGGCTTAAGAGAACTGGTAAAAGTTGTAGATTAAGATGGCTTAATTACTTACGTCCAGATGTTAGAAGAGGCAACATCACTCTCGAAGAACAATTTATGATCCTCAAACTCCATTCTCTTTGGGGCAATAGGTAACAATATACTAATGATCCAAATGTAAATATATACTTGTGTTTTGATCCATTTACTTACTAGTACATATCTTGAGCGTAAATTTTGAGTGTTTTTCTTTTTCTTTTTTCTTTTGGAATATATAAANGTGGTCGAAGATTGCACAATATTTACCGGGAAGAACAGATAATGAAATAAAGAATTATTGGAGAACTCGAGTGCAAAAACAAGCTAAACACTTGAGGTGCGATGTTAATAGCAATCTTTTCAAAGAGACAATGAGAAATGTTTGGATGCCGAGATTAGTGGAAAGAATTAACGCCCAAACATCTTCCGCCACGTGTGAACAAGCCGAGTCAATGATCACCACCGACCCAGGTCAACGTATCGAAGAACCGAATCCGGTCGGACCGGATTTCGTTCAATTCAACACGAATCATCAAGGGTTCGTACCGGTATCGGAATTATCCGCGACGTCTTCGAATTCTCCTGCTGAGACGTTATCGGATGTTCAAGGTGGGGTGGTGAACGGGTCGGTTGGTTATGACCCGGCGGGTCAACCTGGTTTCGGGGAGTTCAACGATTGGGGCTGTGTTGGTGGTGGGGACAATAACATGTGGACCGATGATTTTTGGTTCTTGCAGGACCAGTTGTGTCATGAAACGACATCGTATTCGTATAATTAAGGAAATATACGATTACGATACGTAACGAGGAATTCAATTGCGTCACGTTTGGTGTAATATTCATTCGTGCGTTTATGTGGTATACGAATCTTGACTTACTTAATATAT